CAAAGAAGAAAACATAAATTGATAGTTTAGAGAAAATTGATCTTAATCAATCAATGCACAAGGAAGGAAATAAAGCAGTGGTCAGAGAAATTTTGGAATTTCACTGAGATTTCAGTAGCGATAGAAATCTAACCTGTCGAGGTGCAAGAGAGTAGACAGGTCTCTTCTGCAGCTGTTTCGTTAAGGTTTGCAGGTTCCGTTTGGCACATCTTGGGAAGTCAGTTGTGTTACTGTCTTCCGAGTCAATGATATTTGCATGTTCACATAGCCAATACTGTGATGAAAATTAAAGTAATTAAAATTTTCTAATGCACAAATTTGTAAGTATGATAACTGCAAATTTGAATGGATATTATACTTACCAGCAATGCAATGACACATTCCATAACTTTTTTTGGAGTTTTGTGCAATGCTATGATAGAATCAATCAATGTTGATATGATTGCTTTTGGCCAATCATACTGTTTCATTGATTCAAGAGGTTCCACATACTTTATAAAAACCCACCCTATTGAATTCCCACTTGTTGCAAAAAATAGGGTGAGACACAAGTACAATGTAACAATGATTGCTACATTTTTGAAGTCAGTTGGTTGCTTGCCTTTCATTGCTTTGACCAAGGCATTTTTAAGAACATAACCAATGAGCCTTGTGTCCTTTTGGAATCTTGTCCTTAGGAATGCAGATTTTGGCTTTTTAGAGTATCTTAATGATATGGCTCCTTTACCTCCTTGCAAACCAAAAATCAAGGTCATGTCATTTGTTGTAAAGGTCAAGTTCTTTTTGCCAACTGTGAATGCTTTTGTTTTTTCATTATAACATTGGATTATTGCAACTACATCATCATCAGATTTCCTAGATTTCCTTAGATCCATCCTTCCAGTGGTTAGAGCTTGGATCCAATATCAGAATGGGGTCTTTTGAAGCTGTACAAGTTGGTTTGAATTGAATTTAAGTGTTTGAAAAAAAGGAGACAACAGATGAGAGGTTGGATCGGTATTGAATGCTGTAGTGAGCTCTCTTTCTTTGGAGTTTAACAGGTTTTTTCCTTATTGAGCTTGAGTCTTTTGAAGTTGGGGTACTCATCTGGATGCTAGTTGCTTCATCACCTTGGACTTGTGTTTTTTGGCGAGGAGTTTGTGGTGTTTTGCTGCTGGTTTTTTTTATCTTAGATCATAAGAAGACTGAGAGAGTTGTTCTTTCTTGCTTGGTGTTTCCAGTGTTTTGCTGCTGGTTTTTGATCTTAGCTCATAAGAAGATTGAGAGAGTTTCTGTTTCTTGCTTGGTGTTTCTGGTGTTTCGCTGCTTTTACGTTTTGCCATTTCTAGACAATGATTAAAATATAAAGATGTCAACATTAAATCCCAGAGAAAATTGAACATGCCAGAGAAAATTGGACATGTCAGAGAAAATTACAGATAAGGGAGAAAATTACAGATAAGAGAAAATTGGAGATGTCAGAGAAAATTACAGATAAGGGTAAATTACAGAAAATTGGACATGCCAGAGAAAATTGGACATGCTAGAGAAAATTGGACATTAAAAATTAAATGTCAGAGAAAATCAACAAAGCATCATAAACATGGGAGATAAATTTTCAATAATTGTTAAAATTACATATAGAAGTAAACATACTAGAGAAAATGAATGACAGAGAAAAGTAAATATGGCAAGCCAAAGAAAATTTTCATTCCACAATTAACAAGATAAAATAAACAAAGTAATGTAAACATGTCACTGAAAATTACACTACATTGAAACCAAGAATTGAACAAAATAAACATACCAGAGAAAAATACACATTCCGGAGAAAATTACACATTCTTGAGGAAATTTCCATTCCAGAGAAAATTTCAATTCATAATATTAAAATGCCAGAGAAATTTACATACACAACCAGAGAAAATTAACCATGATATAGACACACAAGGGAGGAAAGAGATGTGATGTGGTTAGAGAAAATTATAAATACCAGAGAAACTTAGACAGAGGCAACAGAGTAATAGACATTTCAGAGAAAAATACATATTCTAGAGAAATTTACAAAGCAGAGAAATTCATAGACAAAATCACAGAAACATGTTCAAGAATAAGATCAAAATACGGAGAAATAACTTTTTTTTCAAAATACACATGTCAGAGAAAATTCAAAGAAGAAACATTCATTCCAGTCCATAATATTAAAATGCTAGAGAAAATTAAACATGATAGAGACACACAAGAGAGGAAATAGATGTGATGTGGTCAGAGAAAATTATAAATACCAGAGAAACTTAGACAGAGGCAAGAGAGTAATAGACATTCCAGAGAAAGATTGACATTTCAATTAAAAATACATATTACAAAGAAATTTACACAGCAGGGAAATTTATAGACAAAATCACAGAAACATGTTCAAGAATAAGATAAAAACACAGAAAATTACTTTTTTCAAAATAAGCATACCAGAGAAAATTGAAAGAAGAAACATACATCAAGCAAAAACCAGAGAAATTCAAATGCCAGAGAAATTTACAGATAAAATCACATAAACATGTTCAAGAATAAATTCAAAACACACAGAAATAACTTTTTCCAAATTCAGGTAGCTTTTTATTACAAAATTGAAACCCTAATTTATGGAAAGTTAATATAAAATGTAATTAATTGTGTTTTCAGAGAAAATCTAGTTGTATTGTAGAAAAACTTACCAGAGTTAGGATGAAACTTGAATGACGAGCTGATATGGCCTGAGATGAAGATGCGATGTGATGAAGATGAACTGAGATGACGATGAACAGTGAGAACGGGGTCAAAGAAATTTGTGAGGAAGGAATGGTAATGATTTTTGCAGAAGATAACGAAGCTCTAATGTTGATGGTGAAGATGATATTGAAACCCCAATTCTGCTATTCTCTTGTTCGTGAAGTTGGTGGATGCTTGGAATGGAATTCAGACGTCGGAATGAGTTTCGTTTCTGTATTGATTTTGGGAAGGGTATTTTGGTCCACAAAATAATTAAAAACGCGCGCCAAGTTGTTCAGGGACCTGATGCATCACTATTTTTTTGGGTGTCCTTTATCCTCTAAATTATTATTATTATTAGGGACCTTAAAAAAAATTCTCCTATAATTTTCTATATAAATGTTACGAAATAAATATTTCATGAGAATACTAAATAAATTTAAAAAATAAAATTTTCAATTTTAAACTATTAGATCTCAATATACAATCGGTTAGAGTATTGTTTTATACTATTTTATTAATTGATATAATATAGTAACAGTGAAAAATACTTAACACTCCTAAAACATTACCCTTTAATTTACACTAAATGGTTTTAAATGTTACATGTTAGTTGATTTGTTTATAAATCAATCAATTAAGACCTAAATCATGCCAAGTCATTGTGAATAAATTCAAGAATGAAGTTTTAAATTCTCTAACATTCACTACAGGAAAATCGCAAATTAGCGGCGTTTAAAAAACGCCGCAAAAGGCCAGAAAAACGCCGCAAAAAAATAATACGACGTTTAAAAAATTCGTCGCTGATACGGCCGCCGTCATATCTTTGTAGCGTTTTAAAAACGTCACTATAGAGTTTAGACGACGTTTTTTAAAACGTCACTAATTCTTAACAGCTGTTTGACTATTTCCGTCAGAGTTAACTATGACATAATCATGACGACATTTTGCGACGTTTTCATGAAAAACGCCACCTTTTCTTTGCTATTAAAAAAAAAAATCATAATTAATGATTTTTTTTAATGCTATTCAAAGCAAACCACCCATCCATATCACCATTTTCAAAATATATAAAAATAAATAAAAAATAAAAAATTACTAATATGGAGTATTCATTTTTCAATTTTCCACAACCAAAAAAAATCCTTTTAACACAATATGTTAACTCAATACATAAAAATAAAAATTGCTAATATTTTCTCATTTTAACAAAAAAAAAAAAAAATACTATAGAGTGCGCTCTAGTATTTAGCTTCAGGTTAGCTTCAAGGGCTGCTCTATTGAAAAACTTCACCCCAACTCATCATCTTGGCTCTGCAATAATAGAGCAAAGCATTACACTTCAACACACCCAATAAATCATATGTTCAAGAGAATCAAGGACATTCCCATAAATATCCATATAATCAGCAGCAATTCAACATCATTAAAACATGTTGGTGAATAGAAACCAAGCTATACAACATCAATTTTCAGTCCTATCAATAAGATCATATATATTGAAAGCAAACCTAAAGCTCTTTGAGAACATCAACTCGCTTCTGAATATAATTGCAAAAAATATATTTATAGAGAAGACTCTAAATTTATAACTACAAAAAATATATTCAACCAATAGATTTAACAATTACGTTGTCAAATTGTTCAAAATACACAACCTCATACTAAATTTTCCCCTGTAACTCTTACAAAGTAAAAGAAATCCAGAAGCTACAAAAGCAAAGAAATGCAGACCATCATAATGCCTGTCAAACAACTGGCATCTTTACATGCAACAATATCAAAATAATTCCAGAAAGAAAACAACTAGCAGCATTCTTATTCTTATACATAAGCACTTCAAAACAATCCAAACTGACCTGAATACTTGGGAATGATGTATCTTTAACAAAGAACTGAAAAAGAAAGCCTCCTAAGAGCTCGGATCCGAAAAACCATTATGTACCCAACAACTATGATCATCAAATTTCAATTGTCATCTTTTGTTATTTGACTAATCTTTAAGCAAAAATAATAATAATAATAATTTAGCCCACTCTAACAAATAAAATTAATTAGTTGAGACCAAACTTGCAGCAGTCTTCACATTTGCAAAAATTGAAGCTACTAGAAAAGCCAATGAAATTTGCTAGTTTATGTAGATGAAATAAAACACAAATTGGATGTTGTAGTCATTGAGTGTGAAGAATTTCAATCCTGCATCAAAATCAACAATTTTAAAGCAACTTGATTAAAAAAAAAGTTAGAAGAAATACAGTAGTCCCTTTCTTGTCTTATTACCTATAACTGAGCCAAATAACACAAAACATAACATGTAGGCCAAATATATGACAAGAAAATAAGTATAAGTAATCATCCAATAAGGGTCGTCGCCAAGCCTATGCATTTTCATCATGATTCTAAGCTTTTGTTGCTTCTCGTAAACCAAAGATGTCAATATGACCGGCATAAATAGGGAAAAATAATTGAAGTTTATTACCATATATAAGAATGAAACAAATAACATCTTCCTAAATAATATACTGAAAGATATCAGATGCAAAACCATAATATGATTAAAGGTCGAGTATTATAGGATAACAGGAATAATATTATAGAGAAAACATACTTGTGAAAAGCTTTCTGAATTTCACGTTGACTTGCATTCCGTTCAACCCCAAGAACCTGAAACAACATAGTCACAAGAAACTAAGGAAGAAGCCAACAAAATTAGCCCCCCCCCCCCAAAAAAAAAAAAACACCAAGGGAAAGAACCTCCATTTATCAACCATTTTAACGAAACACACAATATTAAATCCCTACTTAGACAATGTAGATTATTCATTATAAAACAAAGACTTCACTTCAACTTTTGAGCAATCAATTCAAATATGAGATAGAGATGATTTCATCAACCACACTGACATTCCCAGCAGCACAGTAAAGATTACTAAACAAAATCTAAGATACCCATTCTGTGACAACTTGGCTAAATACAAGCCAAATGTTTACTTCAGGTTTTTGCAATTTAGTCTACCTGAAAATCTCAAGAATCATGACACTCACGTAAAACCATTAAGTCCAGTTACTCCAGTAGCACACTGTTCACTCAATTGATATCAAATTACTCAGATACAATCTCTATTGGAGGCATCACCGTAACATGCATATCACTATCAATTCAAAAACCTAAAAAATTGATGACTCAAAATGTGCACATCTTCTTCAAATAGCAATTTTAAAATTGAACTTTTCGCCCAAGAAACATATGACTGAACTATCAGTTGAACAGAGATAAAGGCATGTTTTGAATGATACCTGCTGCAAATGAATCATTGGAAGTTTTTTGTTCTTCAACCACAAACTGGATATGTTTAGTAACTTCCTTTTCTCATTTTTTACGTCAAAACAATTCTTACAATGATATGTAAGATTGAACACAGTGCTGTGAAACATGTAGAGTCTATGCTAAATGGAAAATGAAGCTACTACAAGTAGATGTAAACACAAGTTACTTTCAGAAATACCTCATACAAAAGAAATTCTCGAAAAAAGTTCCCCTTCTCTGATAATAGAAATGCCAAGGCTGCTCTTGTTTGAATTGGCTACTCTGATTGAGATGAACCAAATGGAAATGGAAATACGGGGACATTGCTTCTTTGAATTTGCAGAATACCAAACTCAGCCATATCCCCGTTCAGATCCTCACCACCTCCACTTTTGGCTGCAGTTATGAAATTCTCAAAGACTTGCATAACATCTATGAATCTTTCAACATCACAAACTTCAGATTTTCCATATATTGTGTAGCGTAAAGCACTCAGACGTGGTGATTCATCAGTCAGAAGCCTCTGACATTACAATCAAAATATATAAATAAAATGAAAAGAAATAAGAAGCGGGTATGGTAAACTTCAATCTAGACCAATATCCAGCAAAAACGTAGGAACAGTATATTACATCAAAAATGTCAGTGAAATAAAATAGTAATGCACAATTGGTTATTTAACAAGGCAAAGTGCATACAGTATTTTTTATGACATTGAAGTATGTGCTAAGCATTCTAGCCAAGATGAGGATGCTCTCCCGTAATTCCTTGGGGTCAAGGGAAAAAAGGAAAAGAGGACAATAAATCAAAGGTCAAAAGCGTATAAACCAAGAAAGAAAGAAACTCTGGATACACAAGGTCAAAAGTGTTCTGTTCTTTTCTATTTTAAATACTCTCGCACAATATTAAACCCACCCACAAATAATGGAAGGACTGTTCTTCGTGTTACATGTGATCTTTATTCATTTGTTCTATGTTATATAGACAACATTTTACACTTTGTGCTTATCCAAACAACAAACACAAAGAATGAACATCAATATCTGAGAAAGCATATAGATCTCAAATAGATTTGAAAAATTAGAGAATTAAGTTCAGACAAAATAGCAGTTTTCTCACTTGATGCGGCCTTTGCAACTGCATCACTCCTTCTATGTACTGAAGCGTAAACAGCATCTACAATACTGTAAGCGGAAGCAGTTTCATATTTCTTAAATACTAATTTTAAAGACAAAATAATGTTTACAATTAAAATAGAGCAATTCATGTATAAAATTGAAATCGCATGCAAAGTTATATAGTAAATTCAACTACTTATACATACTTGTTGAGTGGATGTCCAACATGTACAACTAAATATATCAAACACATCTCATACCCTTCCTAAGTGTCGAGTGTCCAACATGAGTACTTCACAAAATTAGAAGAGTATTGTAAACATAGCTGCCAACTAGGATACCACATGCCAAAGCCACTAATTACCTGAATTGTTATAAGATCTGCCCTAGTGAATGTTTCATCAGTGAGAAGCTCCTTCTAATTCTTGGTTTTGATGTTTAATTCTTTAATTGCCTATGAAGCAAAGACAAATGGAAGAGATGTAGATCACTTAAATAGAAATTACACAAAGAACTTATAAGGAAAGACTACTAATATTGATGATCAATAAATAAACAAGCCTCATAGCAAAAAAACATTTCCTGTAGTCTTTACAGCAACAATGTGTATAAATTCAGTAAAAACTTTGTTCAGTACAGGGCAATGATACTCACCTGCAGAAAAATAAAGAAAAATGATTTGCAATTAATTATGCCAACCTAACAATCCAGATGTCCATTTTCCCTAAAACAGAAGACCAAAAAAATCGTAAGGTGCAAATTGCCATCATAACTAATTTATTACAGTAAGATTACTGTTCATATACAGCTCTTAGCATATCTATTACACTTTTCAGATCAATTAAAATAATCTTCTCCGGACATCAAACATAGGTTTCCTTTTCATGTATACATGCACTACAAATGTTTCAGATACAATTTAGCCCCACATATTTACTAAATCAAGATGAAGAAACCTATTATTATTTCTTGAAAATAAAATACGGGCACCTGGCCAGCCTTGGCCTTGCTAATTGAAGAACCATGTTAACTTCAAAAGAGAAATATAACGCTCATTTTAATGACCCTGCCTGCTCATTATATTAAGAGCAAAGAAACCAAGTTGTTGCAAGTTTGCAACCAAGCTGAATAAGCTCAAATTGAGCTAGAGCAAACTCAATTGAGGGAAGGTGAGCTTGAACATTGTCATGGTAACTCAAAATTCAGCAAAACCAGGCATGATAATATTAATGGAGTAATTTCCAGCAACCCCCAAATGACCCAAAACAACTTTGCACATAATGCCCTTATTTTCCACAAAGTATCTTATGAGCAAGTGCCCAATTTATATGAAAGGAGCCAAAAGCAAAACACTCTGTGCTTAACTACAATCAAACAATAACATTTTGTCCATCCAAAATTGCCAAATTCTACACTTGAAATGTTTCTTTATCATTAGTATTAAAACAAAATCATAGAAAAATAAAAAATATAAATATAAATAACTTGAACAACAAGAATATAGAGAACCCCACAAAATTCATATAGCAAATAAATGACGAATCTAATAACGTTCATATAATTCTAGGGCACGATCAAGCGTTAATGGAAGATAGCAATTAGGAATCCAGATAAAAATAAGGCAGCAGCACAACCTAGACTTATAATTGGGGTAATTATTAGAAGAAATGTAAACGAAAACAAATTTAAAGAGGATTGAGTAGATTAGAAAGAAACATTTAGCAGCTTTGATGTATGCGTGTGAGAGAGAGGTGAGATACATCCACCAAATCCAAAACAATGAACTCAAAACAATGAGAACACACATACACACACACACACACATATATATATATCAAATAGATTCAAAAAATCAGAGATCTGAGTTCATACAAAACAAATGCATATATAATAAAAACTTACAGATCTGAGTTCTGCAACAAAAAAAAGCGACCGATTAAGCGAGATCTGCAACAAAACAGAGCAGCAAGAAACTTACAGATCTTGAAGGGGGGAAAAAAAAAAGGTGGCCTAAACGAGCTTCAAAATCTAGATTGACCAAAGGACCAAAATCGAAACTCACAAATTCGAAAGAGAGGAGAACCAAAATCGGAAGATAAGCGCAAATCTAGTGACCTTCAAAATCTACAACAAGTTTTGAAATCGACAGATCTGAAATCGATCGAGAGTGTTTGAAATCGAGTGAGGGTGACGGTTTCTAAGTTTCAAATCGGCGAGAGTGAGGGTTTCTGAGCTTCAAATCGAATGGGTTTTCGAGCGAGAGAGAGAGAGAGTCTGAGTTGTGGAAGAGTGAGTGAGACTGGGACTGAGACTGAGAGACGTTTTGAAAGGGACGGAGTATTGAACGGTGTCAACGAATTGACTCAAACGGTGCCGTTTTACTGAGATCAGAGACAACGTTTTGAAAACGTTGTATCTAACTAATCTATAATGGCGTTTATCATAAACGCCATAAAAGAAACGTTGCAATAGGTAACTTTTCCTGTAGTGATTATTTATAAAAAACTATACGTACCTTTTGATTTTTAAAATTTTGTCATATACCTCTTGTATTAATAAAATCGAATCAATAAAATTGATACTATTATTTAAAATGTAAAATAATTTGTGATCATTTCATTAAATATTGTAAAATACTAATGAAATAAAAAGTTAATAAAATAATTTTAATAAAATTAAAAATTCATCCTGTTATACATTTTTACAAATACTCATAGATATAGAATTAATAATAAATTGTCAAAAATTGGAGAGGGCTACATAGTTTTGTCCCTGCACTCCATGAATCCTAAAATGGGAACAATTCGAATCATTGAAACGGATCCAACAGTACCTCTCCAGTCCGATAGAGAACTGAAGAGAAACCATATTCGTTATTTTTAGCCCACATTGTTTACATGATTTATGAAAAAAAAAATGTCAAATTGAGAATTGTAATTATGTTAATTTATGATACTTATTTACATAAAAGATGAATGATAAATATTATTTAAAAATTAAATCCTTTATTTTTTAATAGATAAATATAATAAACTAACGCCACTACCATTATCGGATCTATATGATTTTTTTTTAAAGGAAAAATTATCTATAAATTCCAAATTGGAAAATGTTGATCCATTTAGTCCTGTGATTTTTTTTATAAGCCATTTGGTCCCATTTAGTTGGTAAGGAATATTTTCCTTTAATTTGGCACGGGTGGAGTTTACAAATTTACCATTGTGTGCGATTTGGTGTGATTCTTTTTGCTAATATGTGCGTAATGGTGTAGATGGTAACGTTTTACATTTTCATTTGTGTGTGTGATTTTTAAAGAATGATCTACAGTGGATTGGTTGCAATTATTGATGTTGTTTTCTTGGAACGTGGGAATCAATTTTGGTTTTTTAGAGGCATCTTCTTCATGGCTGATGTAGGTTTTTTAGACTTTAAAGGTAATTTTGCTTGTTATCCGACCGCCAACCTTGTCAACGTGGAAGCCTTCAGTCTAGAACCATGTGTCCTCACAACAGATACTTTTTGGGGGGTCTGCTGCGGAGCGTTACCTATAACAAATATTAGGAATTGTTCATTAGATTGGAACATCAGTACGTCGTGTCAAAACAGCGAGAGCATCAACACAAATAAACATGATAACTGTGAGTTGGAATTAAGTGGAACAAAGTGGACAATATGCAATCAACTAATGTCACACCAACAAAAAAAATAAACACAAAACTGACCGAAATGCCAACAAGCTTTACAGTGTGAGGAATCAAAACATCAACATGTCACCCAATGTATTCCATTAGACTGGGCGAACAAATCATGCAACGTCATATTTGCTTTCAATGTTTACCGTTTATATTCACTTATCATTTCACTCCACATTCAGTGCAATGCAAACCAATAAATCAAACGTCTACCACAACTGTATGGGCGCATCAACATTTGTTATAATGTAGCCCCATAGTTTCATCAAACAATTACATGTACGCCACATTACTCAGACAATAAAGAAAATAACAACACGACATTTTCTAAGTGATCCAATTAAGTGTGCACATAACTTGGCAACATTACAACCTCAACTCACAAACATTTACCACCACATAATAAGGTGTTTCAGCAGATGTCCAACCAAAACCACGTAATTTGCTTTTTACTCTTTTAATGCTATACATTCAACTTAGCCCTAATGAAAAGCATTTTAGCAACTACAACATATCAATGCACTACATTTTACTTTCCTTCAAATGGGACCGTACGTGCACGTAATTACTAGGTTGTAGTTGACGGAACGTTGGCCACAAGTAGATCGTTCACTCCACAACCATAATGGTGCAACCCATTACGCTAACGTCTACCACAACTAACATAACACATTCCTTTAAAATAAAAACACAATAGGATGGTTGTTCATCCTAACTAGTCACATTGTACTCCCACATTGGTGACATACAACGACACTTACGTCACATGGAATGCGATATTCATAACATACCAACTGGAAATTTTCAATGCGCCAAGGGTTGGCCGTAATATTCTAATCCTATTTATAATGTCCCAATTAACCAAAAGGACCTCCCATGAACATATGGGTCGCAAATAACAATAACGCCAACACAATACAACCATTACGATGTTTCACATTACGAATAACGTGTCTCACGATGTACCCAACATAATTCACAAACAATAGTACAGGAAACACCAAACTACAAAAACACACACTTATTTTTCACAGCATAATTCCACATTATAACTTGCCATACGAACACAAGGAAATATTACCACACGTCTACCATTGTGACTATGAAATTAACATACATAAACATTATTGGGATGCAAAATCTTGTGCTCGCATGGATGAATGATGTTAACAACAAAACCCAGAAGTCAAAATAATCACAACGTCAGGGCATTCAACACACATCGACACAATTACAGGGCAATATATACCTCCAAACAGGGCATTTTTTCCAGTTATACATCGACACAATAACATCAAGATATGTATTCCTTCATAAACTAATAACCCTAAATCATAGACATTCAACACACATCACCGTACCAACAAAAAATAGCAAAACGTCCCCTCTAATCTTTACACATTCAATGTGAGTCAATCGTCATATTCTATATTCACAAGGGAAAATTTACCCAAATCTCACATTGCACATTACATCACACAATTAGGGCATGCAATGACAAATCAAACCCCAAAACCAAAATTGCAACCAAACAACAAATGTGGAATTTGATAAAACATATTGAAGCACACATCAACATTTAAAGTGTCAAACATTACACACCTTCGCCTTTCATTGTCATTGTTTGCAATTATGATAGTGTTGTAAGCGGCGTGTATAAAGGGAAACACTATCCACTATGTCTGTAAGTATGTATCCGAAGAAGATGATGTCAAACCCTCTTCGGTGGAGATTACTCTGCTATTGTTGATGGTGGTCCATCAGTGAAGAGGTTCCTCCAATAAGGGTTCTAGCCGAAAACACAAATGTGGAATTTGTCGAAACAATATTTCAAAAATCACTCAATAACATCTAGGGTGTCAATCCACTAACATGGAAATGTTCTAATGTGGGAATGTTTGTTAACAATGTTTCCATATGTAGATCGTAACATTCAATCAAAATCGAGAAAAAACAAAAAATGCCTATGGTGCACTTCATGTCCGCAAGTGTAATTTCACCTATAGCAAAAAGTGACATTCGCCCCCACTAAACACATCAACACGTGGTTGGATGAGGACAGATGTGTCAATCTGAGTGTTGTAGGACATTTTGGTTTAACAAAAACAATGTAGGATTAAATAGTGCAGTAGTTCCCAAAATGGAATTTATTGATGGTTCACTCTTTTTTTTTTTTTTCTGATGGCCAATCTTTTTTTTTTTTTTTTTTTTTTTTTTTATCAATGACCTATCCATTATAATTTAAATTATCAAGCCAACACCTGTAGTTAGCATAATATACCCAAACGACACAGTCTAACTAACAAAGCAGACTGAATTTGATTCCTTTTTGTTTTGTCTTTTTTAATCAATGTATTTTTTTTTTCTTTTCTATTTTTTGCCACCGGGTAATTTGTAGTCCATACGACCATAGCACCATGCATTGCTCCAAATCAATTACTTAAAAGGAAAAAAAAAATTCCAATAGAACACGTTAACTCAATTTTATTAAATAATTAACAAGCCGAAATTAATCCTCAGTGGTCCATATCATAGCACCATGCATTGCTCCAAATCAATTACTTAGAGATAACAAATGACCAATACAACATGTGAACTCACATTTATTAAATAATTAGGGATGTAAGCTCACTCAATGGGTGTGTTATTAAATTTATAAAATATAAATTTTGATTTTGAATTAGAAATATATATTTGTTGATCAAGTGGTAAGGGTGTTATTTTTCAAACTCAAGATCACTTCACTTTATATTATATATATATATATATATATTTTTTTTTTTTTTCCTTTTTTGATATAAAAAAAACTATTTGACAAAAGGAGGGAGTAGGTTGCAAGAGATTAAAATGAATTGTTCACATATATAATAGTATAGATTAAGAAGTAAAAATTAATCCTCATAATACTTGTTGCAATTTTTTATTGTATTATTACAACATAATATTTGGAAAACAATAATACAAACAATGTTGATAGCATGCTTGATGTAACTTATTTTAATTTTAATTTTTAAATAATTAATTTTTTTAGTTTATTCAAACTATTTTTACATAACAAATTATAAGAATAAGTTTATCAAATAATCTTACACATAATTCAAAAATTAAAAAAAATTATAAATAACTCAGGTAAATTATCCCAAATAATTTAATAATTGTCTTACACTTGCACCGCTCTCTACCAACTTTGGCATATGCAGTAAGAAGGGGATATGGTGTCACT